AAGGCTCACCAAAGTGATCCGTTTCGAGTCTCGGAGGGACGGAGCGCCGTATACGCTGCTTGCTCTGCGGCGGGTGCCAATAGACTGTCTCGAAGGGACGGAGCGTCGTTACACTGCTTGTTCTGCGGCAAGCGCGATTAGGGGGCTGAAACAGCGTGTGTCGCTAAGTCCATGGCGGATTCATTTTGCTGGACCATGACGGGCTCCTGCTGAGCTATATAGCCACTGACGACGAGTCCATCGATTCGTTTAAGGTGGCTATGCCCAAAAAAAGTCTGAGAGCCGCACTGTTGCGATCCTCTCACAACGAACTTGTGGCCGGCCACCTGAGTGCCTCGAAAGTTTTTGCAAACTGAGCAACGTTGTGACCTGGCCCGGCACAAAGCATGACATTTATCGCTATGCCATGCCTGCCACGTCTGACAAACGGTGGAACCAAGGGGTGGCAAGCCGCCCAGTCTTATGAACCGATTGTTCGTGAGCGTCCGTGGCACGTACCAGCTGAAAGATCCCCTTAGGGAAAACTCAGTCGTGCCCACATCGCAGACCTAAAGCTCTTTGCCACGGTCTGACGAGCTCACGCCAGCGCCCTGCGGCACTTCACGCAAGCAACGGGCACACCCGGAGCGGCGGACCGCATTTGGACCCCGCACCGGTATAATCTGAGGAAGGGGTCACTTTTGTGATTTCGTGCCGGATGGCGGACTTCTCCGCAACCGAAAGCCCTCAGTTTACTGTCTAACCTCAGTATAGGTTAGCTTGTTTATGGCCGTTTCTCGTAAAGAAAGAAGTTGACCCCGCCAGTTTGCTGGCAGTGTTTTTTTTTTTTTTTTAAGTGTTCATGAGTCTTTTATGTTTATTTTGTCTAATATGTTATTTGTATATTATGTTTTTTTTGCCAGAGACTGAACATCATTTTGCTCTGTTTTACTCTTGTTTTGTCTTCATTTCGTCTACCACGAAAAGAGTTGTGACCTTGAGTATCGATGCTTATGCGTGGAGAGTGGGACGAAAAACACCTTGCGCCTTTTCTCGCGCAGCCGTCGGCGGTGTGTGTGTGCGTGCTTCTGTACGTGACGCTTCAGTGCGTGCCCGTGAAAAGTGCGCGTCGTGGCTTTGCCCTATCGACGTGGCCACTAGAGGTGCTCAGGGCCCTGACCCAGTGCCGTCAGACAGTCCGGCCGTGCCCTGCTTTCGGTCGTCGCCGAGAAGCTCTGCTGCCTTTTTCACCATGACTTTTGCGCGAGGCCAGCTGACAGCAGCTATATGCTGCCAGCCAACGCCAGGGCGCCTCGCAGCCCATTCCGGTTCGGACTCCCTAATCCCCGGCGAGGCCCGGCTTCCCGCAATGTTCCAGCTTCGTCATCGAGCCAAAAATGCGGGGCCTCCAAACCCCCCACTAAGCAGTGTTTGTCAAACTCGCGGCTAATCAAGAGCAGCAACAAGCCATCAGAGAGTCCCTTCCGTGCCTCTGACCTTGCACTCGGGCATCGCACCCAGGGGACATTGTCACACTCCTCCGCCCCTCCGTGTAGTGGACGCTATCCCTCCTAAGCACCACGAACACTAGTCCTACTTTCCTGTGCTCCCTTTTGCAATTATTTTTATAGTGTCATGTGTTTATTTTGTTATTAATGTTTTTTTCCCTTTCATCATTTTTTTAGCAGCAGTTACAGGGCTGAATTGAGATTAGCTGTCGCTCATAGCAGTGTCATTTTTACTGCATGGGTGACGTCTGGCTGCCTTTGCAGACCAGTAAAGGGCAAACTTAGGAGAGGGAGATGTGGGAATTGAGTCGAGCCCGCTTTGCGCGGGCTTTGCCACCTTTTCTGCCGTTCTCATGTACCGACATATGTCCCCTCCTCCGCTGTCTGCCGCGCTGGGAGAGCAAGAAATGACATTTAAGCTCTCTCACCCAGTAGCAGATGTCGACGGTGGCGCCGCGCGTGGAGTCTCCCGAGAGGTTTTGCGCGCGTGCGTCGGGAGTGGGTCAGACCTCTCCGGGATGACATGGGGGTAAGCACGCTTTTCTTTTCTGTCAGCTCCCTTTAGGGCTCGTTCGGACTTCGCCAACAGTGCCTTCTGCCCGCGGCGAACGCTTACTTGATGTCGTCCCCCTTCCGAATGCTAGGCCGAAGAGTAGTGCGTGTTCCTAGTGCGTGGCCAGGCTACGGCGACTCATAACTCTCCGAAGCCAACGCTAGCGCCTTTGCCCTCGCTCGAGCAACCGGGCCTTGGTCCCGGTGTCTCCGTGAATCATTTTTACCATGGAGACGTGCTCGTGGCACCCTGTGTAATACTTTTAGCCCGTGGCGTAGATAAGCCCATTTGTTTTCCTGCCGCGCCTTTGCAACAGGCTGTACTGCGTTTTGGCATTGCCACAGATAATAAAGTGTAATAAAGCGACCTTGAGCAGTACCGTGTTCTCGCCATGGCGATGGTTAATGCGTGCCCTGCGGCTCACTAAGACCGGACCCACGCTAGTGGCCGTACTCCTTCGAGATACGTGTCACTTCAAGTTCTCAAGACCTGGAGAGTCGCTGTTCCACGAAAATCCTTCCAGGTGACAGTCAAGACCTACATTGGCGATCTAAATTTTGAATCCGAGGGTCTAATGACTTGCTACGAGCACATCGTAGGCGGAAATGTCACAATTCCACATGGTAGGTGGACACTTAAGCCTGGTGCCGTTCCTCAAATTTTCCTGAATACTCGTGCACACTCGTCTAAACCAGCAGCATTAAAGCGCGAAAGGAAGCCGCCGAAACTTAAGAGAAACCTTGAATTTCGAGAGCTGTGTGCCGGCAACTGTCGGCGATAAGTCTGACGTTAACACAAAGAAAAGCGATGCTGATGAAGCTACTGGCGTCCCCTCCAATACAGAGTTGTGCCCAGGGGTAGCCGCTTGGTTCCTTGCATTACAAGACCAAACAAAGTTTAAATCCTGGAATGTCAATCTTATCAAAGTTGTTGTTTTTTTTTTTTCAAAGTTGTTCCAAACAAAAGCATTCTCAAAATCGGCAAAGCAGTGGTGATAACAAAGACTTCCCCGTTGTCCTCAGTTCTAGGGGGAAGCTTGTTCCCCTGTGCACGTACAGCGAAGCAAGCTGAAACTCATGAGCTTGTAGATGCTATCAGCTTTTCTCAGTTACGCTGATCACCTAAAATATGCACGGGCTAGCATAGCAGCTTACTCTTTTCCATTTCGACCGCAACATTGGCCCTGAAGATTCGGGACGTGTGGAGGAGCACTAAGTGTCCCGGGAAAACTTATGCCCACCATGCAAGAGCATTAGGTAGAATCAGCGAGCGTGGTAGAAGAAAAAAAAGGGGGGAATTCTACGAAACCAATGACACTTCACCAAAAATTACGCTCAACTACTAAAAAACTAAGAAAGACTGTTATTAGGGCAACATTTTTTCGAGAAAAAGCGAAGAATGACATTTGGAAAACGAAAACAGAGCTATCAAAAGTGTCTACACGTCAAGTGGACGTACTCAAGACCGGCCTTCCTCCAGCAGAACAGCTTATGCTGCGGAGCAAAGCCTTATTGAACCCAAACTTAGAAGGCATTTCCTTACAATTAATGTAAGGCATGATGATGTCAGCAGAGGCAATATGTTCACCTTTGACATCAGCCTGTAGGCAGAAGGGCTCGATATTTTAAGGAGCAGGCAAGTAATCAGCCATTCGGTTTCCTAGCGCTACTCTCTCGCTGACTTCGCTTTTGAAACTGTCAATGCAAGACGAACAGCGAGACTAAAAAAAAAACAACGTCTTGCTGGATAAGCTCGCCATTCCAGGATTAAAACTTTGCTTGATCTTGTAATGCAGAAAACTTAGTTGCCAGCCCTGGACACAACTCTGGATCAAAGGGGACGCCAGTAGCATCGTTAACATCGCTGTTCTCCATGTTAACGTCAGGCACATCGCCACCACTTCCCAGCTCACGACCCTCAGAATTTGTGCTTTCTCCAAGTTTCGGGGATTTCCTTTTGCACTTTAATGCCGTTGGTTTAGACAAGTATGCAAGAATATTCGGGAAAATTCTAGGAACAGCACCGAGCTTATGTGTCTACCTACCACATAAAATTTTTACGTTTCTATGTACGATGTGCTGCTTGTAGCAATTTATTATGTTCTCAGATTCGAAATGTAGATCGTGAATGTAGGTCTTGACTGTCACCTGCAAGGCTTTTCGTGAATTAGCAGCTGTACAGGTCTTGAGAGCTGCAGGGTCATTCTGGACTTTGAAGAAGTGCCGCCAATCGCAAGTAATTTCCTAGGAGGCCTAGCCCCTTTGACTGCCCAGCCCACTGCAAGTCGGCATGCTTACTATGTTAAACTGGTAATTCACTCAAGTTGATCGTCATGTCACATGTAAAATACAATTTGCGATGACCAAAACATCGCCTTCAAGCTCCCCCCGCTGTGGTCTAAGCAAGCGAACACACACAAAAAAAGAAAAAAACTTCAACGCTACCGCGAAAAGTGGTGAGTAGCTAGGGGCGGCAGCTGGATCTCAACGCTATGCCAGCGCCATCCTCAGAGCGGATACGAGTTGGTGCCGCCTCCGGAGTGGGCTTTTCCAACTGACGGTATCTAACAACATTGCCTGGCAGCTCATGAGAGAGGAACGGTCTTCTTTGGCGGTTGGTGTGCACAATTTTCTCTTGTGGTGGGTCCGTGGTGGACGGCACTGCGGGTCGTCTGCCATGGGCCCTCATGGTAAGTCGAGCGTTGGCGATGCTGCCTTCGCACTACCTCATGTTGTGGAATATTGTGTATGGTTGTTTCAGCGTGTTGATTACAGCTGATGCATTGATTCGGCTGGCGATATTGTCTCTTTAAATCTAATTAAATAAATGCGTGTTTGGTTGCGTCTATTCACTCCGAAAGCGCATGCCTCGCTCACAAGATTCCACATGTCTCAATGAGGACTGACTGGTCCAGGCCAACAATATGCATCACAGACAAGGAGAGAAAGCAATGCAATTACAGGTAGTGTTCAGCACTAAAGTGTTTCTCCTCTGCCTCGAGTCGCTCCTGCCGGGCTTGTTTGACGCTCTTGTGCTCAGGGTCAGCAATGTCTACCAGGTCAGGCACTTCCTCCTGCACGAGTCAGCAGGGAGTTATAACCATCTGAGGCGCTGTAAAGGCCATGACATGCACAGAATTATGCCTCCAGACGGAATGAAGGAGCACAACTAACTAGCCCAAGTATCGGTCTTTCTTATTATAAATGGGAAGCACCTTAACGCGTGCAATGACGCCCGTCCTCTGTCTGTCAAAGCCATACTTGCGTCCATCAAGCAGGGAAACCTCGTCCTGAGGGGTCCAAGGTGTCTGCTCCACGTGCCAGTCCACTTCAGGTGGCTCATCACTGGCAGACCAGTTTTCTGCAGACAGACAAGGACACTTCTCTGCATCACCGTGTTGGTGAAACAACGATGAGAGGGCCATTCCCTGAGAGTAAACAAATCCCAACCCGTCTGCACGGCAAAGCCGTGTCATGCTCCCTTCACGCTGACTAAATAAATGCGGAGCAGAATGATGCAGAACCTCTCACACCAACTATGGGACAGCTTAGCCTAGAAATACATTGGAACACACTCTGAATTTGTAAATGTGCAAAAGTAAATATACACGTCATACAAAAACATGTACAAGAACATGCAGTTTTAGTGCATTTTGTTAATACTGTGTGATTCAACATAAACAATAGTACGACATATAAAAACAGACAATCTAACCCATACCAAGAACTTCAATGACGGGTTGAGCTCGGACTGTCCTCGGATTCGGAGCTAGGAGTTTGGTCAAAAGATCTAAGCCAGTGAAAACCTGGCCCGGACTTTGCTTTGGCATGTGAACCACATATACACCTGGAAAATAAGAGTGTCCACAATGAATTTCTCCAAAAAGATAAAGCAAGAAAATTTAACTGTCAAGATTGCAAGAAATGTGCTTAATCCTAAATATCTTTCCTAACAAGAAACCGCCAAAGGCAAGCATTCAGTATCACTACAGCAGGACTCGCTGAATGGTAGGTGGCGGGGGGCATGCCATTCATCGTTGTGGTTCACCACCTTACCGTTTTCCACAGACCACTTTGATTGACTCCTTTGAAATGCATGCCTGATAGCCCCAAATCATGTCATGTCCTCTTTCAATATGCCGGGCCACACATGTTATTTGACAATAACAACAGCCACAGTTATTGCACACAAAGATCAGTTTATTTCCCACCTAAATCCCTGGAAAGCTATTGCAAAAAGCAAGTCCCTACTTCATTTACAGCTTTGCATTCAATGCACAGCTTCTTTCGGACGCGAGAGGGGAAAGACTATGGCAAAACCTGGTTACCCCTAGTGGGAAACTGTGAGAACCTTAATATGATGACATTTACGAAGATGAAGTAAGGTGGGACAAAAAATAAGTTTGCCATCATTGGAAACCTGGCTCTTTTAATTACACGTGCTTTTCAGAGTCAAAAAAAAAAAAAAGGAGCTCCCCAATCGTGTCATTAGGCCTATGTGTCAAAAGAGCACCCCTCTCCAGATAGACTGAAACCATCCAAAACTATGTGAAACCTACAGTCAGTTTGTATTCTTGTGCCAAGATGCCACATAACTACCAAGCTTAGCCCAAGCAGACACCACGATACATAGCTAGCCTTCCGTTTGAGAGATGTACTCAGGGGTGCAACAGCCAAAATAGAATTTAGAGCAATTTTTGAAGCTGCAAAATACTACTTTTGGAGCACTAAAATCCAAATGTGGAGCAGGCTATGGGGAAAAACTTTTCTTCTTATGAAAGATCAAATTTTGAGCAGTACGAAAAATAAGGCTAACTTTTAAAGAAATATATGTACAAGCCAAAATATAATTTGGAGCAATTTTTGGAGCAGCAAAATGCTACTTTTGGAGCACTAAAATACAAATGTGCAGCAGGTTACGGGAAAAAACTTTTTTATGAAAGGTCAAATTTTGAGCAGTACGAAAAATAAGGCTAACTTTTAAAGAAATATATGTATAAAACATTCAACCCACCTAAATTACGCATAGTGAACATTAGCACTGCTATGTCAATAAAGGTAGCATTCTGAATTACCCCACTGAGTAAACAACGGTTCGAAGTCCACATAAGCATTTGCCATGCCTGCGGAATCTTTCGACAGACTCTCCGAATTCAAATGCAGCTCTGCCAAGCTGGCACCCTTGAAATTAATGATATTCATGAAACCGAAGTGTAGGGATGGCAAAAGAAAAACTAGCGCACAAGGTTTTTTTTTTTCTGTTTGGGGGAGGGGGGCAGCAGAAGTGTCATTCACTGCTCCAAATGATTGCCAGCCACTTTTAAATGCCACCGATCACCCCAAACTCATGATTATGGCCACATACACGCCCGAGTAATTTAACCAAATGTGCTGCGTTCCATGACTAGCACTAATTAACAGCCCCTTCAAAATCACAAGACACTTTTTCGTGGGACACATGTATACTGCGGCAAAGGTGGCTTAAGCAGCGTTCTGCGCGGTTTAGAACAAGGCCAAAAAATTTTCGAATCGCTACACTACCCCTCCCCCCCCTTTGACCACACTTTTTCCTTGACGGAAGGGGGGGGGGGGGGGGTTAGGTTTAGCGGGCCCAAATTCTCAGCTTGCTAAGGCACGTTTGACCAGATAAATTAACAATGGCATGCGCTCGTTGGCCCGGCAACTGATATTTATTGCTGGGACGACGCAACAGGAAGCCAGAAAAATGACTTATGTGTCGTTGCTATGGCAACAAAAATGGTGGCGGGCAATGACGGTGTTCACAAAATGTCGACCTAGTTCGCGAGGGGAAAACGTGGTATACATTCTTAACATGCTATACCCACGTTAGCCGATTTGGAAATTCATATTTCCAGCGAATGGCTGGTGGCTGCGGAAACACTTTTTTTTTGCTTGATGTTTCGTCAACCTGCTGAAGATATCCGCTATGGACCGTGGACCGAAGGGCCCATCGGCGGGTCCGTGGATTGATGGGCGCACGGCATTGTTACTTCATCTTATATTTTATCTGGTCGATCGCGATTCGCGAGTGTGCTCGCTTAACGAGTATATAACTTACACTGTTGTTTAAGGTTAGAGTCTGCCGCCTGGTATGACTGATGATGTAAAGTGCAGGTGACCAATGTGGCCTTTATTTCTTGCTAAAATTAATGCACGTCCATTAATTTTGAGACTGGTTGAGCATTTTCACACAGCGTGGCGCAATTTCAGCAATGTTCGCGGTTTTGGCGCAGCTCGGTGCAACGAAGGGGAATTGTATCAAAGTGGTGCAATAGGCGCAGCTGTTGCACCCCTGTGTGCTACAGTGTCCAGCCAGGGTTCTCACCATTGTCAGAGATGTACTTGGCCATTTCATGCCCATTTTCGACCACTTTTCCAGGCAAATGAAGTCTGTAAGGGCAAAAAAAAAAAGGTATGTTTTGGTTCATGACCTCCTCCTGCACTTACACATTTTTTTTTTCATTGTATTGTATTATTGTACTGAATATATTGAATTAAAAAAGAAACATCCTGAAACCAACCCCCCCCCCCAAAAAAAAAAAAAAATCAGCAGTATAGCTGCATGCATGGAGGTACGTTGGGTGTCAAATAGATACTGACATGCACGTTAGCTCCTTCATTTTTAAGTGAGTGGGCTCCACCCATAAGAAAACAGGTACCAAGTGGTAGACATGTGACACTCATTTGTGAGAACATTGAGATATTTTTAGACTGTCCCAATAAGAACACACACAAGAAGTGAGCCCTGTTTCTTATCTGGAGTTTCTCCTGAGGCTAACAAGAGTACTAACTCTATTGCTGAAATTTCCCTTCTTTCATGCATAAAAGATTATGTTTTTTGACGAGAGATAATTGTGATCTGTGCACCTCAAGTGTCACTTATTTTGCTGGGCATAAGTTGGCCCCATAAAGAGTTCAATGATTTCAGTTTGAGTCCTGTCTATTTCGCTGTCAAACCCAGGTGACAATACTTTATGAAGACACCCTCTGCGTGCAAAAATGGTAAGTAGACCACTTAATAAATCTCTTCCCCCACCTCGCCCGGAGGAAACTGCCGGACTTCAAATAAAGTTTACTCATTAATCTCAATCTCTTATAATAGATGGCTAATGAACTACTTATCACGGCCGTAAAGCTGTTTCCATGAGCGCACGATGTTTATTTATCTGGAAACATCACAGCACATCTACATCACATCACATCTACAGCACTTCATCGCAGTTACAGTTTCAGAGAGCGCCGAGTGAGGTGGGACCCAGAGTAGTTTATGTATAAAAATAGCTATGAGCACACACAAAACTGCGTACACATGAGCATCATGTTGACAACACTTTACAATGAAAGCTTCCACTATAATTCTTTCTGAGGTGTTGCAAACATGTGTGAACCCCCCCGAAAATGCAAAGACATCAGTGCAAGTGTGACCCCTGTTTCCCTTGGAGAAGTCCGTTTCCTGGGAGAGAGTGCTCATGGCAGTCGACACAAAACAACACAAAGAGTGGTCGCTCATAAGGATTGTGGAAGCCAACAAACTAATGACGCAGGGGGCGACTGGTTTACACAGAAAGAAAAGGCGCATTTCGCTTGTAGTGGCGTGTTGCACATGTTCTAGGCTATATCATTTGTCCATATTTTGTATATGATGTGCTTCTGTCTGCACAAATGAATCCCACAAGTTATCTCGCCCTCAAAGTTTGGTGTTACTGCTGTAAAAAAAGTGTGCTTGAAGCTACACACGACCAATACACATTTAAATCGGGTGACCAGACCACATTTTGTTTAGTTGGTTGGTTCATGAGGTTTAACGCCTCACGGCGACTCAGGCTACAAGATACATCATAACGGAGAGTTCCAAATAATTTGCACCATTTGAGGTTGATTGATTGATTGATTTGTGGGGTTTAACGTCCCAAAACCACCATTTGATTATGAGAGACGCCGTAGTGGAGGGCTCCGGAAATTTCGACCACCTGGGGTTCTTTAACGTGCACCCAAATCTGAGCACACGGGCCTACAACATTTCCGCCTCCATCGGAAATGCAGCCGCCGCAGCCGGGATTTGAACCCGCGACCTGCGGGTCAGTAGCCGAGTACCTTAGCCACTAGACCACCGCAGCGGGGCTGCACCATTTGAGGGTCTTTGACATGCGCCAACTTTGCAAAGAACGGTCTCAAGCATTTCAATTTCTTGAACACACGACTGGCAGGGCCAGGATCGAGCCAGCATTTTTCAAAAAAAGAAGTTAAGCCGATGCAAGATGAACATGCAAATGAAATGAGATGCTTTCCTGGTTTATACTTTTAACACATGTCAACAGAGTCAAAGTAAGCTTTTTTTACATGGGCCAAAATTTGCTAGCGGTAGTGCCATGGCATCGGGGAATGTTTATAGACTCAAAGCAAGGGGGCTTTTGTTAATACTTGAAGGGGGCTTTGTTGCGCAAGCATAGCGACTTGTTGGTGCATAGTGAAAAGGCAGTTTCTTAACGCTGGTGTGGACAAATAGCAAGAGACACGTCCATGCGTCTCTTCCCATTTGTACATACCAGAAACTGCCTTAGTGCAATACACTGAAATGCTGACTGAGTACTTTGTCAGAAAATTTTTGGTGGCAGAGTTGTCTGCAATCTGATGTTTATGACAATCATTGTGCAAAATAGGAAAAAAAAAAAAACTTAAAGGGGCCCTGAAACCCTTCTCGAGCCTGGTCTGAAAATGCTGCAGATCGGTAGTGGAGGCTCCCGAGAACATGTGAGCCAAGTATTATAGCGCAGAACGCAGCATGAGATTCACAACAAATTATCGAAGTTTGTTAAAAGTGCTTTCTCTTCTCTCAACAAATGACGGAGGTAACTAAAAAAATCCTCGTAGAAGGCCATCTATCAGCCATTGGCTGATTTAATACTTTCTTTACCCCGCCTATTCAAATCGATCAACGGTGATCGAAACTTTGGTTTGTTGATGTTGACAATTTTGAATTTGTCTCTGATGCACCTAGCACTTTCTAGTAGTCAGTTCAGTTACTTAACTTTCAGAATCGATTTGAATTTGGCCATTTTGACAACACAGTGATTTCTGACAGAGCTTCACACAAACAGATTTGCGTATGTTCCTGAGAAAATGCACATGGCTGGCGAACTTGACAGAAGTGCGTGCCCCTAGTGCTTATGCTAGAGTAACATCAAAGTTCTGCAATCAAAAACACTTTTGTAAGTCAAATATTAAATTGAGGAGTCAGCTTTGCAATCTGACAGTGCTGAGAAGTAATAAATGCCAGAAATTTTTGCCAGCTATTTAATAGAGAGCTGTTGCTAGGATTAAAAAAAATATATATTCTACAGAAAACATTTCTGAAGGCCCGTCGCATGTATCAAGTGTGGAAGTGGCCTTCTCAGTCAGTTTCCAGCAGCTTTAGTTTCACTTGTATCGTTACATCAGACACAGGGCAGGATCTAGTTCCACTAGTCGCTCCTATGGCGGCGGCGTCACGCACGCATGGGTGCGCACCTGCACAGCAAAAAAGCTTGCGTTGCTAGAAACTGTCTTGCAACCACACCTGAAGTGAATGAGGACGAGCTTCGAGTCTGAGAATGACAGCACCTCAGCTTCAAATTTTACGGCGACGATGTTTTGCGTCAGCCTGAGACATCCACAGCCGTTCGTGAACTTGTTTTGTTTACAGCCTGAAATTTCCTCCTCCGCCGCTAGTGCGTAGCTTCTGACTTTTTTACAACATCTTATAGCAACTCTAGTTACGTGCCAGGCCCCCACATCGCTGCAGAGCGGTGTCGGGGCGCCGGCTGCAGAGCTTCTCCTTGCAACAAGAAGGTGACCAGAGCACATCTTGGCCCTGACTGCAAAGCAGCTCGAAACGCTTTATGACTGCAAGCGATATTGTTCTTTTCTTTAACATGATCTGCAAAAATGCAATAAATTATGCTTGGATGCATATTGTCACACGCTGAGAGCTCGAAGGAACGTACAAAGGGACGCGACTGTCAAAAATCTCAGAGACAAAGAAGGACGTCTCCGCTGGCACAGGTTGCTCGTCTTCGTCTTCCTCGTTCACCAGCACATAACTGACCCACTGTTCACTGGCACAGAACACCAGGTGGCAATATATTGAAACACCAACCCATGCGGAGTAAAGTGGCTAATGGAAAGAAGTGACACTAGATGAAATAGCGGAGCTCACTGCACGTCTAATTTATAGAGGGATCATTTACATCCCGGGCAGCAATCTATAGTGGAACACCTGCAGGCACTTACCACACACACAATACACACACACACACACACACACACACACACACACACACACACACACACCACACACACACACACACACACACACACACACACACACACACACACACACACACACACACACACACACACACACACACACACACACACACACACACACACACACACACACACACACACACACACACACACACACACACACACACACACACACACACATATATATTACTGGGAAAGTGTACGAGTTCACTTGCGTCTCACGAGAAACCAAGCAATCTTTCACCGCATGACACGAGGAATGAAGCAGCACCTCGGTTTTGATTTTGTCTATATGAATAAAGACATCTTGTACAAAATTTATTATTTGTTTACTGTTCCAAGGTCTTTTATTTTCAAAATTTATACCCCGAACTTTCTTTGTTCTGAATATTTTTGCATGCATTGTTTTTTTTATTGTTCTGTTTACCAGCTGTGTTCCCTTAGACATGAGGCACCGCCCGTTTGGCCAACATACACCAGTCCACACGACAGAGGTATCACAAACACAACGTTCTTTTGGCACCCAACGAAAAACGTGATGTGCTTTTTGGTGCTTGTCGGAGTCCTGTGTTCACGAGAGTTCACTTGGCGGCACATAGCTCCCTGCTTGTTTGGGGCACTGATTACTACACGAACACCTTAACGTCCTGCAATCTTTTTGATGCAATGCGAGACGCCGTGAAGATAAGAAATAACTGCAATCTTTGGGGTTGACACCTGTCCGTTGTCTTTCTCTGCAGCTTCTGTGCGTTTCATGCACAGAAGCATTGCAGCCAATTCACAAAGCATGTAAGAGGGAAAGCCGGCATCACTCAATCACTTCGTTTGGTTGACAAAGTTGTCCTGTACACTGTGGTGACGTGATTTCTCTGATGTGCAGACTGGTGTACGTTGGCCAAACAGGGCGGTGCTTCAACAAACGTCCAAGGGAACACAAGAATACGTTAAAGAGTGGTACTGGAAGCAACTTGGCTCTTCATTGCAGCAAGCAGTGCGCGTCAGGCCACTGCGCACATGAGCTTGAGAAGACGCAAGTACCAAAAAGTTATAAAAGGAAACAGGAGCGGCAAATATTTGAGGTATATGTCATCAAAAAGTTGGGCAGCAGATGCACCAGTAAACCATCTGTTGACTTGTTTTCTTGTGAAGTAGACTATCTAGACGATTAGAGTTGTAGGCAGCTTATAATTTGGTTTTAATCTTGTTTGACAACATGGCAGTGCTATCGTATCATGCGGTTTCTCGGCTTTATATGTGCAATGAACGCAAAAATAAAGCTTAGGTGCAAGTGCGCCTCTTTCCTGTCAACCACTTCTTCTTACAATTTTGTACGCGGCGCTACACCCAATTATTGCAATGAAGTACCAACAAACCTGCCTAGACATCCTAGTTTAGTACAATCAATGTCAGCATTCCCTCTTGCTACAAATGACCCAAATTTACAGCCACTGGCTGATTTGAGCATTGTGACCTGCATAGTCACTGCGGTCACCACGAGATGCCACCACATGCCTGATCATCATCATCACACTGAAAGTAAGCCTTGCGTTAAAAAAGCAAAGCACTCGAAGTTGCGAATCATTTCCATTCTCCCGTGCCCTTCGTCCCAGCATAGCTTCCAATCTGTCAGGATGAGCGAAAGCAATTAAGGCATCAAACTAATCGCTGTAACTTCACTCATACTTGATAGATTCAAAGAATTTTCGTCCGGTTGATTCGTAGGCAACAAACTCTTTTCATGACGCCATTTGATGGTTGCTTGGGAAAGTGTTGCAGAGCCCAGATGTAGCATAATGTGGTATGAAAGAAGAAAGACGCCGGGCGTCACACAATGCGAATCGCACATTAAGTGGGTAGTTTAGAGCTTCCCACCTGTTAGAAAATGCTTGGCCATAATTCATCATCGTCCGAGGAACTAACATGTAGCACGCTTTCCACAGAATGAACGATTGCACAGTGGGTACTTCCCTAGTTCGTAAAATTATGACTAATGGCGTCGTGGCCACCTAGCAACATACACTTGCAGCAGACGCCCCAAGAGCGTTTGCAATAAGCTCCAGAAAGGACGCTGTTCCCGTTTCGCTGCGAATGTGTTGCGTGTACCGCGCAGGCCTGTCTTTCTTCTTTTGAATGAAAATTGAGGATACTACCAGATATACAAACTGAGCACCTCTCCTTGAATTCACACTACAGTGCTCTTCGGTTCATGAACATACTCTACGTCCACTTGAAATAGAGACTTGTCACCTCAGGTAGTACGGCCTGGAGTAGAAGGTGAACTCTTCTTCGTGGAAGTAGACCTCTGCCTCCGATACCTTTCAGAGCGGCACGAAGGAAGGAAGACATTACGCCAAAATTAAAATGGTGCGAGCGAACAAACAACCACGGCAAGAATTTCACGTCGTTTACCTTGGAGTATGGTGCCTTGATCTCTATAATTAAGAAGTTTTCATCCTGCCTTAGCTCAAACGCTGGAGTCAACATAGTTGCGGTTGTTTCTCTGAAGCGTAGCCAGCAAGTTTCAGGGTGACACAGGGCAGCTTCGTCAACGTATCAGAAACCCTTCTTGGAGCCCGCCTTTGTGCGCGATATATACTGTGGCCCCTGGAAAAGTTCTCACGACGCCACATCTATCACACCACCAAATATTTCTGCAATTTTCATGTAGCTGTAGTAGCCAACGTTTCCAGACCTAGTTCTAGAAACGTTGGTAGTAGCCGACTCACAATACACCTTCCGAGGCCCCGGAAACTCTCAAGTTCAAGTGATCACCTGTAGGGGGCGATAAAATTCCTTACTAAATTTTAGATTCTGTAAGAAAAAATCAGCAGTCATGATTTTTAATCATAACGAAGGTAGTGAGCTTAGAATACCGGAGGTCACGCTAGCGATAACAGATAAATACAAATATCTTGGCGTATGAATAAGCAATGGGACCGGGTACCTAAGGAAACACGAAATATACGTGACGTCTAAAGGTAACAAGAATGCAGCAGTAATGAAAAAAAGGGCACTGTGGAATTACAATAGGTGTGATGTTGTGAAAGCAATATGTAAAGGGGTCATGGTTCCTGGGCTGACGTTCGGCAATGCGGTCTTGTGCATCAGATCAGAAGTTCAAGCAAGATTAGAAATTAAGCAACGTGGAATAGGTAGGCTTGCTTTAGGAGCTCACGGGAATACAACAAATCAGGGAGTACAAGGTGATATGGGATGGACATCATTTGAGGGCAGGGAAGCTAGCAGCAAGATAAATGAAAAATTGAATTGGTGCACAAACTTGAAGAAAAAAACAAGGGAGACAGGAAAGAGCGCAGTTTTTTTTTCTCTTGTTTTTCTTCAATCCCTTGTTTCTTTCTTCAAGTTTGTGCAGCAATTCAATTTTTCAAGTATAAACCAACTAGTCTGCAAAGAAGTATTGCTTCAGCAAGATAAAATTTGAGAAGCGATTGAGAGAAATGGGGGAGGCAGCGTTGGGCTAGGAAAGTTTTCAGCTACTTGTACATGAAGAATGTCGATACAAAATGGAGGAAACGAACCAGGAAATTGACTGGTAAGTACTTAGAAAACAGCAGGTGGCCAAACCAAAAAAAAAAAACAAAAACAATCGGTTAAGAAGAAAGTGAAGGAAACGGAGACTGATATGTGGAGAATTGGCATGATTAAGAAGTCCGCACTAGAGATCTATCAATATTTTAAGCAGAAATTGCCAAGGAAAGGATCTATGATAATACTCGGGGTAGTTCTCTACTGTTTGAGGCCAGGACGGGAGTATCGCGAACCAAGACATATCGGGCCAAATACGAAGGGGTAGACACAGTATGCAGTGCCTGTGGAGAGGAAGAAGAAACTGCCGAACACTTGATAATGTTCTGTAAGGGGCTTCACCCTATAGTTCAGGATGATGGCGCAGAGTTTTTCAAAGCACACTGGGGTTTAGGGACAGGGAGGGCAAAATAGACTTTAAGTGGGTAGACTTAACTAGAAGGAGGTTATCTGATTGGTGGCTAAAGTCAAGGCACAAGTGAAAATTAAACCCTTCACTGCAAAGTACCCGTCCAACTTTACTACTTAAGGGGAAAAAAAAGATAAATCTAGTGGTTAGTTCACTAAGCATTACGGCTAGGTGGCAATAGCCGCCGCCCGATCTAAAGGGTACAGCCACGTACATCCATCGATCCAACGCCAAGAAAAGGATCTATGATAATACTCGGGGTAGTTCTCTACTGTTTGAGGCCAGGGCAGACCAAGACAAATCGGGCCAAATACGTCGTGGTGGGTGGTAGTGGTTAGGAGATGAGAAAAGGCACCTGATTTCTGCAACCCGGTCGGGAGGACGGCGCAGTGCCTGGGCCAAATACGAAGGGGTAGACACGGTATGCAGTGCGTGTGGAGAGGAAAAGCAAACTGCCGAACACTTGATAATCTTCTGTAAAGGGCTTCACCTAATAGTTCAGGATGATGGCGCAGAGTTTTTCAAAGTACTGGAGTTTAAAGACAGGGAGGGCAAAATAGACTTTAAGCGAATAGAAGTAACTAGAAGGAGATTATCTGATTCGTGGCTAGTCAAGGCACGAGTGAAAATTAAACCATTCACTGCAGAGTACCAGTCCTATACTTCACTATTTGAAGGGGAAAAAAAATATAAATCTAGATGGTGGTTCAGGAAGTATTACAGCTAAGTGGCGATAGCCGCCGCCCGATCCAAAGGGTGCATTCTCGTCAAATCATCTATCTATTGCGCCTTTTTGCTTTGAACATTTAGAGTGGATTCACAACCTCTCTCACCAGTGTCACCACTCGCGCTAATGCTGGATAGATGGTACAGTGGCTAGAATAGCAAAGTGTGATGAACGCACTGGCTAGTGCGTAACGCCCTGAGAAGAAACCGCCAGATGACGCTGGCGCACGTTTGCACGTCACCCAAGGTGGCGATGCGCTGAGCATATACGGCAATCAACCACGCGCGCGGGCAGCGTGAAACATTTAAAATGTATTTCTTTACTCGTAAATCAGCTCAAATGGCGACCGAGAAATTATGGTAATTAGCATCTGGAAAACAAAATGCCTACGCGGTTGCACGACTGATCTGAAATATCGTCAGGTCGACAGGATGCCGAAAGTGAGCGCGTAACGGTACTGAAACATTTTATCGATGAGAAGTGGTAGAAGAGTGGAACGATGAACTCAGTTGTGAGTCATTGCTTGCAACACTTTTCACGGCGAACCATCATTTTCTCAAGCACTGATATGTAAATAAAGCCCCATCAATCAAAACGTCATTCATAATCATGAGGCGAGAACCACGAGCGGTGTCTGAATGAAATCCTTTAATTTCTGCACACCGCTGATAGAACACATTTGCGAGTAGTGACTCACTATCTGTTTACAAAAATGCATTCTTAATAATTTGTTGCACGTCCTTTTATATCGCCAAGAAAAAAAATTTAATAGTTCCAAGCCCCCCACGGAACATTGGGCAAGCCTAGGTGATGCGCCTGAGCTTCAGGTACTTCCTCTTTTCATGGGAAGATGCTCGCTTTTTGTGGAGTACCTTTGCGTAAAAACGCAAATTGGTGAACAGAAAAAAAAACTTGTTTACTTGATTGGTGAGGCTCGGACAATGTTGTGTGCAGCCCAGTGTGACATATATATATATTTTTTTCCAAGCAGGAAACAAGCTTTTCCAAGCTGTCGCTGTGAAGCTCGTTGTAGCTAAAGCACATTTAAAAAGTGATTTCAAAGGTGCCTACAAATGCGAAGAGCTTCTCCGAAAGTCCTACCCATAGGCGTCCGTACGAGGGGGGCAAAGGGGGCTGGCCACCTGGGACGGGGGCGCTAAATCTGTTCTATACATTTACTAGGCAGCGGGTCACTTTTTTAGTCATCTAGAAGGGTGGCGTAAAATCTGCCTCATACCCCGATTTAATATCGGGGTATGAGGCAGATTTTACGCTAACACCTTACGCTAACACTGTGTGGTTCCCGCAAGGTGTTACTAATATAGCAAAAGTTGAACGGGTTCAAAGGAAGGCCATTAGGTTTATACATAATAAGTACAAACGCACCGACTCACCCACACACCTTTTAGAAACCTCCGGTCTACCCACTCTTGCAACAAGAGCAAAAATCGCGCGTCTCAAATTTTTACACCACATTCTGCATAACCACAGCCGGATCGATGCATCCAGGTACATATCTTTGGCAGAATCACGAACACTACGACATAAACATGCATACACTATCAAAGAATACTCTTCCAACAACGACTGTTTCAAGCAATCCTTTTTCCCCCTGTCAATCAGCGAATGGAATAGGTTAGATCCCTCCATTACTAACGTAACATCACTGGCAGAATTCACTTCAAAAATTGAGAGTATACTTTGAGACAACGGCTTTCTTCAACCATGACCTCCAATATTGTTTTCCAGTAGTATTTATTTGGATGTATAAGTTTACACAATGCCTTCTCTGTATAAAACTGTATTGATTTTTTTTTTATGCAGCAAAGATTTAGTTTGCTGCTTCCGAAGTGTGAATATTTGGAGTGCATAAATACCTATGTCTAATGTTTCTATGTAACTAGGATTATTATTACTAATTTTAAAATAACTACAGTTCTGTATGCCGCCTGTAAGAAAGTACTTAGCATTCATTGTATTTTGATACTCATGCCCTCCTGCTTTGGTCTCGTAAGAGACTGGCAGTATTGTAAATAAATAAATAAATGAATAAAATATAAAATGAACATCCCCCCCCCCCCCCATTCCTTAATCATCAAGCACGCCCATGGATGTACCCCTTTCAATGCGGACAGTTTCGCCCATCACAGTGCGCTCGAGGTGCCGGGAGATGTACCTCTCGCCGAAGTGCAGCTTGCACACAGCCGAGTTTTCTTGAAGCGGCTTGTCAGCGCGCGGGATCGCTCTACGCCACTGCGCTAACAGAGCTTCGTCCTTTGGAACGCTGAACAACGCATGCTTTTTTTTTTAGCTCACATAGAAAGGGCACCGCGAAAACTCGGGAAAAAAAAAAAGACAGTAGAGACAGAGCGCTGACTAACAACTGAAATTTTATTGCCATCTCCTGTGCATATATATGTGCCTAAAATGTGATAGAAATGAGGTTTAGAAGCAAGAAAAGAAGGTTGGTTTTAACCAGCGATGAAAACTGCAAACGATAAAATCTGCAAAGGAACTCGCGCGATAAAATCTTCAAAGGAACACGCTTGCGCGAGTTCATTAGAAGATTTTATCGTTTGCAGTTTTTATCGCTGGTTAAAACCAGCCTTCTTTTCTTGCTTATAAACCTCCTCTCTATCACATTTTAGGCACATATATATGCACAGGAGATGGTAATAAAATTTCAGTTGTTAGTCAGCGCTCTGTCTCTACTGTCCTTTTTTACACGAGTTTTCGCGCTGCCCTTTCTATGTGAGCACTATGAACCAACTAGCCCAAACCAAAATACTTCTTTTTAGCTGACTTGTAGCCTGTAGTGAACCCAGGGACGAAACAATGACTTTATTTTCGCGCCATGAGAGTGCATACAGAAGCACTGATGCAAGATTGCCACCACAATTTAAAAAAACGAGAACGAACGCGCTCGACGAAACTGTCGGAAACGTGCAAATGATGGATGGATGAATGGATGGATATGGCTGTACCCTTTAGATCGGGCGGTGGCTAGCGCCACCAAGCCGTTATACCTAATGAACCAAAAACTATATTTATTTTTTTTTC